GGGCCCCCATTCTGGTCAATGAGACAGAAGGGGGTTCTGGAAAGCTCCCTTATCCCCACCCCCTCATAAAACAAGAAAGACAGCTGAGGAGAAGCCTTGTGCTGTCTTTTCACCTTTGGATGCTGTCAGAGGGCATGGAACAGAGGGGTTAAAAGTGGGGGCTCCAGAGTCAGGCTGCTGGGGTGTGTGTCCTAGAGTAGAGGGCAGAGGGAAGAACGGGACAAAATAATACTAGTAACAGCTGCTAACATGGATCACAGCTTTCCATATGTCGGGTGCCATTCTAAGCACTTCACTTAGCATATTTCACCTTCATAACAGTTCTATGAGGTAGGTTCTGTTATTTCCATTTTATAGATGAGGAAACTGAGGCACAGAGAGGTTTAAATAACAAATAACACAACTAATATCTGGATTCAGATCCAGGCCATGGGGACAAGCATTGAAGGCCATGTTGGACCTCGGCCTTCTCAGTGCAACAGGAAGCTGTTGAAAGGTTTTCAGCAAGAAGTGGCAGCTCTGATTTGCCTTTTAAAAGTCACTGAAATGCTTTGCTCATAAAATCCGCCAGTGGTTGGGGACAAGCCAGACATACTTGCCCGGCCTGTTCTTCAGCCTTTTTCGCTTGTCTCTGAGACATCACCCCCATTAGCAAACCCAGCAGCTTGGGTGACTGGGACTAGAGTGACTCAGATGCTGATGGGCGTGGGAGAACCACAAATCCCCCTCACCCTCTGGGGAAAAACAAATAGCAGCAAATCACTATGATATTAATTAAATAGAAGAATAGAAAGATGATCTTTGGAGAGTGGGATTATAGGTGATTTTTTTTTAATCTGAATTTTTACTTTTTCTACCACTTGGCCATGTATCACTCGTTATTTAGAAAACCAGTTGCGGGCCGGCCCCATGGCTTAGCGGTTAAGTGCGCACGCTCCCCTGCTGGCGGCCCGGGTTCGGATCCTGGGCGCGCACCAACGCACTGCTTCTCCGGCCATGCTGAGGCCGCGTCCCACATACAGCAACTAGAAGGATGTGCAACTATGACATACAACTATCTACTGGGGCTTTGGGGGAAAAAATAAATAAATAAAATTATAAAAAAAAACAAACCAATTGCATTATGTATAAAAAGAAAGAAGAGGGGCCAGTACTCAGCCCTCTCTCTCTGGGGGGGTTGGCTTCTGCTGGTACCAGCTTTAGCTGAAAAAGTCGTAACAACAGCTAACACTTGGAGACTGTTGACAGCACGCCAGCCCCTTTCAGTGCTTTATGTGACATGTAGTAACTCATTTAATCCTCACCAGCTTGGCCAAGGTCATGAAGCCAAGGAGTGGCAGGCTAGAGTCCAGCCTTTCAACTATGTGCTATGCTACTTTTCTGGAAATTGTTTCCAAGTCCCCTGTTGATGAAGGGCCCATCCTTCCCTCCCTCCCTCCACAGTGAAAGAGGCCTCCGTTCTGTGCTGGGCAGGATGACTCAGGTTGGGGGTTGGGAGACTGGGGGAGGAAACAGAGAAGACTGGACAGGGGTATCTGGCAGTTGTTTGAATCCTTGGAAGCCCAGACAAAAACTCGGTCCACAGAGCCATCAGCCTGGACCCCAGGCTCCTGGGACTTGCATGGTACATGTGGGTAGAGAGTGGTGGCTATTTGAGGGCTGTAGACATCTGAGCATTGCAGTTAAACATTTGTGGCTTCAAATCCCAGTTCTGCCACTTCCCAGGTGTGAAACCTTTGGCAGTTACCTTACCTCTGTGAGTCTCGGTGTCTTCGTCAGTAAAATAAAGATCTTGCCAGGTGTCAGCGTGACAGGGCATAATATATGTAAAGCTCTTAGCACCGTGCCTGGCACATGGTGAGCACTTATTATATGATGGTTATTATCATTACCACTCAACAAGGATTTATTGAGCATCTACGTTGTGCCCAGCACTGCGCCAACAGCAGACCCCCCTGGAGGTGCCAGAGCCCAGCAATTGCACCTCCAGGCTCTAAACACCTACAGACATAAGAATTCTGCAGAAGCAAGAAGCCGGAGCTAGAAATCCCTAGCATGTCCCCAGGGCACAGGATGGAGTCTGAGCGACACTTACCTGTCTCGTGGGGCACCTCTGCTGACACCTGGTTTAGAGACTTCAGGGCAGCATGAACCCTTTCTTCCTGGCTGGCAGGGGCCTGACTTTGTCAAGGTTTTGGGGGCAATGTACCCAGGTCTGGGGGTAAATTGTGTCTGGTCTGGTCTGAATTAAGTATGGTTTTCCTGTTCCTTTTTACCAGCAAAGAACTTGCTCAGAGTCATGCAGGGAGTAAGCAGGCAAGGTTAATCTTTTAATCTGTGTGCTTTAGGGGTGGGTGTGTGACCCCATTCTGGCAAACAAGGAATAGCAGGAGCTACCTCACAGGATTATTGGGAGGATTAAATTCATGGTTACACACAAAGTGCTTAGAACAGTGAGTGGCATTCAGTAAGTGTACAATTGATATTAGCTGATTTTACCTTTCACTTCCACCACCCTCTCCCTCCATTTCAGCTACTTTGGACACTCTTTCTGTGTCTTCAATCACCATTTACAAACACTTAAATAAATATCTACGTTTTCCCACCTCCTTTGCAGCAGATCCAACCATAGGACTAAGTTCTGGCCAATGGAATGTAAGTGGAAGTGGTATATGGAACTTTCAGAAATTGCCCTTAAATGGAAGGATTGTGCCTTTCTCCTCCTCTTTTCTCTTTCCTGCTAAATGAAATATGGGCATGATGGCTGGATCTGGAGCAGCCATCTTGGACCATGAGGCAAAAGCTGAATGTGGAGGATTTTGGAGTAACAAGACAGAAAACGGCTAGGCCCTTAACAATCGTGGTACCACCATACCAGCCTGGACTGCATTCCTAGACATTCACATGAGAGAAATAAATGTCTATCTTGTTTAGGCCCCTATTATTTGGGTTATCCATCACTCACAGCTGAAATGAATCCAAACTAATTCAGGGACAGAACTTGGATTTGGACCCAGGCTTGCCTGACCTTGAGGCACTCCACCAGTGTAGATGGCAGACTACCTGAATCAGAATCATGGGTAGGAATCTTGTTTAAAATGTATATTCCAGAGTCCCACCTCAGCTCTGCTGATTTAGACTCTCCAGAGTTGGGGCCTGGATAGTTCTATTTTAAGCAAGCTGCCCACCCAGAGGGTTCTGATGTACACTCAAGTCTGAGAACACAGCATGCCATTCTGTTTCCTCTTGTGAGTCTTAAGAAAATCAGGCATCCATTCTGATCCCTTGAATGGAACAAAAGCCAGGTAGAACTCAAGGGCCCAATATAACAGGGGATTCTGAGGAGGCAGGGAGAGTTTGTAGGCAGAGGTCAGGAGTCCGGGGCCTCAGATAAGGCAGGTGCTGTGCAGCCCTCTCCCTGGAGGCAGCTCTGTCACGGGGGGGTCGTGGATGGCGTGGAGGACCAGCCACTGCCACACCCCTGCCCACACGCTTGGCAGTTGCTCCAAAGCTGGACTCTTCTGAGGCCCCGAGTGTCTGTCACATGTTGAGCTTCCTTTCTGGAACCTAGAACAAGCCCCAGGAGGCAAATCTCAGCTCTGGAGCCAGGATATTAGTGCAAAGCTGTGCCCGCTTCTGCAAGCTACTATTTTCCTTTTGAGAAACGGCTCGTGCCTTGCATGAGCTGGTAGGCCCTGGGGAAGACTGAAGCCTGACGTGAGGCACCTGGGAACCATGTGATGAGAGCTGAATGCTGTCTGACCTTGCCACAAAGTCAGGTGTGCCCAGCAGCATCTGTTGTCAGGGAGGAAGGCACACGAGGGAGAGGGATTGGGCTCAAACACGTCCTGAAGCCCAGGAGAGCTGCTGAGCAGGCAGCTCATTCCCCAGAGTCCCTTCTTGGCTTCCAGCTGCCCCTCCTTCCACCCACACCTCAGATGCACATCCCGAGCACCAGTTGCCCAAGGACTGAAAACTCTAGCCTGTGCCATGCAGAGAGCTTGGGGGACACACACAGCAACACTCGGTGAAGACGGGAACTCACGGGCAGAGCGCCAGCAGGCACTGGGTCCCTGACTGAGGCTGGAGGCACCATGGGGCAGAGGGAGCCTGGTCCCACCATGTTCTCCCTTTTCATAGGCGAGCATGAGAATGACCTTGGGGGTGATGGAGTGGGGGGGATGAATGCTAAATAGTCTGAACTTGAGTGTCAGCTGTTTGGGAAAGTGCTGGCCTGCAGCCTTGGGCCCCTGTGCCCACCTCACCCTCATCCCATGGGAGGTTGAGTTCAGGCACAGCCTCTCCTTTTGGGACAGGGAGCCATCGGTCTGGCTTGCTAGTTGCCAGGCAACCCAGGATGAGACTTCGAGGTCATTTCTCAGACAATTCTGAGCTCTCTCCACAGCCTGTTAGCAGATGGTTTCACAAGCAGCCAGCCCCAGCCAGAAATCGATTGCTGTGGCGGTGCTGCCCGTTTCCAGCAGTGACAGTGACGAGAAACCTTTCCAGGGCTTCCAGCACTAAATTTTGTTGTCCATTTTGCATGGAAGGAGAGGCAGCCTGAGGTCAGGCTTTATGTCAGCTCTGGGCAGCGGCTGGTGATCTTGCCAGGTGGGCAGGGGCTTGGAAGGAGGGAGATTAGAGGATTGGTGACAAGGAGGTGTTATGTGATTGGATTCTCAGAATGTGCCCAGATTGCAAGAGAATGCTTGTGACTGTGCACCAAAGTGACTGTCCACCAAAGAGCACCCCTTGAAAGGAGACTCTTAATCAGGGGACACCTATGGATGTCATCATCTTCTCTTCTCTGTTTTTAGGACCTAGACAAAATTCGAGAAGATATCTCAACCTCAGTTGGGCATTACCTTTGACACTTTTAATTGCAATGAGACTTAAATTTTAGAAGAGATACAGACCATTTATGGGCTTTTCCCTATTCCAATATCCTGATCTAAGATAATGCTAAGCAACATTTGGCTATTATTCCCTGAGGACAGAACTGGTCATAACTAGGTCATGACACCTACTCATTTGAGGCAGCTTCAGAGGTGACATCCCAGCATGACTGTTGCCTTATTTGAGGCATGAAGAGCTCCAACTTTTTAATAGAAATGTTAAACAGCAAGCCAGCATTTTTTTTTTTCCAGGACAAGGACAAATTCCTGTAAGAATTTTGCAAACATCACATGTTCTCTTTCTCCTTGTTGCAATATGTATAATTTATCTTCTGGTATAACTTGCTTAATAGTCACAGTTTGTTAATTCCATCTGCTTCCCAAGAGGAGGACAAATTGTTACACGGCAATGCCTTGGGTTCTGAGAGTCTCCCATGAGCCACAGCTGGTCAAGAATCTAACCAATGGAGGGGCAGCAATTTGTCCACCTGCAATAGATCCCTGTCGTAAAGTTGAATTTGCTTTCTCATCCTCCGTCTGCCTCCCTCTGCACCTCCGTTCATAAACTTGCTGAATGCCACTGGCTAGCACTGTCTAACACAGCATTGCCTCACACCAAGAAGCTCATGTTTCTGCGAAGACCAAAGACGTACACCAATAGGCCAGTGCCCGTTGGATTCACTGGTCTTTCCTTGTACCCGTCACCCAGGACCAGGTGGCCTTAAAGCATGGTGGAACGCCCTACTCGGTTATGGTGTGAGCTGAGAGACACCACCTTGTGAGACCTGCTGGTCTGCAGATTGCGGAGTATGCTCTGAACCAGTAACAACATATGATGCTAGTTCTCCTGGAGTCAAATACGTGGGTCTGGGAGCAAGTGGGGGGAGGTTGGAGTGGTGCATACATAGTACCCAGGGGAGAACTGGGTCCATCAAGAGATGCAAAAATGACTCCTCTGAAGTGGAAGCTGAGACTGTCACTGGCCACTGAGAAAACAGATAATAAGGTGGGTTATCATGTTGGCTGGAGTGTTGACCTTGACTATCAAAAGGAAATGGAAGCTGCTGTAAAGCAGAGATAAGGAGGAATCTGGAGATGCCCAGGTGAAGTGGGATCGTGTGGGAGGCCTCCTTGTTCCTCCAGGCCGAGTGGTGAGAGTAAATAGAGGATTTTCACCCTGCATGAACAAACATACACCCACGGGTTGTGATTGTTCAAGAATAAAGGTTCGTTGGGGCCGGCCTGGTGGTGTAGCGGTTAAGTGCGCGTGCTCTGCTGCGGCGGCCTGGGGTTCGCAGGTTCAGATCCGGGGCGCGCACAGACACACTGCTCATCAAGCCATGCTGTGGCGGCGTCCCATATGAAGTAGAGGAAGATGGGCACGGATGTTAGCCCAGGGCCGATCTTCCTCAGCAAAAAAGAGAGGAGGATTGGCATCGGATATTAGCTCAGGGCTATTTTTCCTCACAAAATAAATAAATAAATAAAGGTTTGAGTGACGAATGAATCCTCCAGCTGTGGTGCTGGCTAAAGGCAAAAGGAACGTGAAATAGGGAGTTCCAGAGAGAAATATTGCCCTTAGAGGACCAACAGGATCAGAGAAGCCCCTTGGTGGGTCCTGTGGAGGGGGGTGGGGGCTAGACTGGGATAGGCAGAAGGAGCCTGGCCAGACCAGTCCAGCTCCTCCTAGGGTAACCCGTGACCCCATGTACTTCCAACTTCCCCTCCTTCCTTCTCCAGCCCCTGGTGCCCAGCTCTCTCTTCCTGTAGGGAAGGACAGGGGCCACCGGCCCTAGAGAACAGTTTGGTCTGGTTCCCTCCTTCCTTCACAGCACCTTTCAGAAGTGGTACTTAGTGGTGTGTCAGAATTTGGTTCTAGCATCTCATCTCCTGGGTTCCAGTCCCAGCACAATTACTTACTCTGTGTGTGTGTGTGTGTGTGTGTGTGTCCCTATGTACAAGTTACTTAGTCTTTCTGTGACCTCAGTTTCCTCCGCTATAAAGGGGGAAAAAGTATCTAACTCTTATGAGTTGTTGAAATTAAATGTAGAACTAAAACCACAAAGCTTCTAGAAGGAAACATAGGAGAAAAGCTTTGTAATCTGGAGGTAGGCAAAGGTTTCTTAGACTGGACACAGAAAGCAATAACCATTAAAAAATGATAAATTAGATTTCATTATAATTTAAAATTTCTGCTCATCAAAAGTCATCATTAAGAAAATGAATACACAAGTTACAGAGTGGAAGAAAATATTCACCAACCATACATCTTGACAAATGACTTGTTTCTCGAAAATGTAAAGAACTTCTAAAACTCAATAATAAAAAGATCAATACCCTATTTTAAAATGGGCAAAAGATTTGAATAGATACTTCACAAAGAAAGATAAGCACATGCCAATAAGCATAAGACAAGATGTTCAACATCATTAGTCGTCAAGAAATGTAAATTAAAGCCACAATGAGATGCCACTGCACAACTCATCAGAATGGCTGAAAATGAAAAGACTGCCAACACCAAGAGTTGTCAAGGATATGGAGCACCTGGAATGCTCATATATTGTTGGTGGGAGGATAAAATGGCTCAGCCACTTTGGGAAAAAGTCTGGCAGTTTCTTATAAAACTAAATATTTACATAGTCCATGACCAGCAAGTCCACCGTAGGCATTTACCAAAGAGAAATGAAAATACACGTCCACAAAAAGATTTGGACAACAAGGTTCAAAGCAGCTTTACTTACAACAGCCCCAAATTGCAAACAGCCTTGTTATCAACAGGACAATGGATTCTATTGTATTCATACAATAGAATACTACTCATCAATAAAATAGAAGGGACTACTGATGGGTGCAGCAACATGGATGAATCTCAAAAATATTAGGCTGAGGGAAAGAAGACACACAAAAGAGCACACATTGTATGATTCCATTTATATGAAGTTCTAGAACAGGCAAAACCAATCTTTGGTTAAAAAAATACTATACCAGTGACTCCTTCAGGATTGGGGACTAAGGTGGCTGAGAATTGACTAGGAAGGAGCATGAAGGAATTTTCTGGAGTGATGGAAATGGTCTATATATTGATGAGAGTCTGGGTAACATGGATATATGCATTTGCTAAAATTCATCCAATGGTACACTTAAGATCTGTACATTTCACTGTGTCTAAATTTTATCTCAAAAGAAAAAAGAACTGCAAACAAATACTGAATTCTAGTCAGTGCTATACATGCTGAAGTGTTCAGGAATGAGGTGTACTGATAGCTGCAAATTACTTTTAAATGCATTAAAAATGAGATGCATTGTTATTCACAATAGTTAAAGGTGAAAGCAATCCAAGTGTCCATTGACAGATGAATGGATAAACACAACGTAGGATATACACACAATACAATATTATTCAGCCTTAAAAGGAAGGAAATTCTGACACATGCCACAACATGGATGAACCTTGAAGACATTACGCTAGGTGGAATAAGCCAGTCACAAAAGGACAAAAACCTCTATGATTCCGCTCATATGAGGTACTTAGAGTAGTCAGATTCATAGAGACAGAAAGTAGAATGGTGGTTCTCAGATGCTAGAGGGAGGGGGGAATGAGGAGTTATCGTTTAATGGGTACAGAGTTTCAGTTTTGCAAGATGAAAAAAGTCCTGGAGATGGATGGTAGTGATGGTTGCACAACAATGTGAATGTACTTCATACCACAGAACTGTACACTTAAAAGTGGTTAAAATGGTAAAATTTATCTTATGTATATTTTACCACAATTAAAATAAATAAAATAAGATGCATTGGTGGATATATAGAGGGATAGATATATGATAAAGCAAATACAGAGCAAAATGTTAACAACTGTAGAATCTAGGTGGTGAGTAGATACATTGTACAGTTTCTTCAACTTTTCTGTATGTTTGAAATTTCTCATAACAAAATATTAGAAAATATTAGATATAGAAAAATAGTAAGAGTGTAATGGGCCGGCCCCGTGGCTTAGCGGTTAAGTGCGTGCGCTCTGATGCTGGCGGCCCGGGTTCGGATCCCGGGCGCGCACAAACCCAGTGCTTCTCCTGCCATGCTGAGGCCAAGTCCCACATACAGCAACTAGAAGGATGTGCAACTATGACATACAACTATCTACTGGGGCTTTGGGGGAAAAAAATAAATAAATAAAATTAAAAAAAAAAAATCTAAAAAAAAAAAAAAAGAAAAATAGTAAGAGTGTAAATTAGTACATTCCTGGAAAAAAATTCAGCAGCACTTATCAAGAGACTTGCCCCATTAATTTCCCTATTCTAGGAGAATAATTGGAAATGAGGACAAAGATATCTGTAAAATTGGAGTTGTTACTCTAATCCTAGGCAAAACTTACCAGGGATGCCTGGAGTTTTCTTTGTGGGAAGATACATGACTGCTGATTCAATCCCTTTATTCATGTGGTGAGCAGAGTCTAAGATGGCCCCCAATGATCTCTGCCTCCTGGTATCAAGCCCTTGTGTAACCCTCTCCCTTTGAGTGTGAGTGGAACAGGTGACTTGCTTCTAACCAATAGAGTATGGCAAAGGTGATGGAATGTCACTTTCATGATTAGGTTACATAAGATTGTAACATCTGTCTTGCTAGCAGACTCTCCCTATTGCCTTCTTGTTTTGCACCCTTTGATGAAGCAAGTAGCTGTGTTGGAGAGGCCCATGTGGCAAGAAACAGACAGTGGCCTCAGGCCAACAGCCAGCTAGGAACTGAGGCCCACCGTCCAACAACCCGTGAAGAAATGGATTCTGCCAACAACCATGTGAACTCGGAAGTGGATCCTTCTCCAGTTGAGCCTTCAGATGAGACCCTAGCCCTGGTCAACAATTGCAGCCTTGTGAGAGATCGTGAAACAGAGCATCCAGCTAAGATGCACCCTGACTCCTAACCCACAGAAATCATGAGGCAATAAATGTGTTTTTAAGTTCCTAAATTTATTGTAATTTATTACATAGCCATAGATTACTAGTTATAGAACTATTCAGATATCTGATTTCTTTCTGATTCAGTTTTGGAAAGTAACACTTTTCTAGAAATTTGTCCATTTTGCCTAAATTTTCAAATATATCAGCATAAAGTTGTTCATAATATCTTATTTCTGTTTAAAAACATGATTATAAAGTATAACATACAGAAAGGTGCATAGTATAACATAATTATAAAACAAATATCTGTGTAATCACCACCCACGTCAAGAAATAGAATATTGTTAGCAACCTGGGAATCCTCATGTGCCCCTTCTCAACCACATCCCCTCCTTTCTTGTTAGGGATAATCACTCTTTTGTTTTTATGATAATCTCTGCCTAGTGTTATAGTTTTATAGTTCTTTATAGTTTACCCATCCTTATACAATATGGTTTAGATTTTTCTGTTTTTGAACTTTAAATGAATGGAATCATTCCCTACATGTTTTTTGTGTTTTGCTTCTTTTGCTCAGCATTGGGTTTATAACATTAACCCATGTTGCTGTGAAGTTCCAGTTTGTTTATTTTCATTGCTGTTTAATATTCCATGGTATGATTATAACAATATTTATTTATCCACTTTACTATTGATAGGCATTTTGATTGTTTCCAGTTTGGGACTACATAAGTAATTCTCCCCTGAACATTTCTGTCCTTGTCTCGTCGTGCATAGCGCATACACTTCTTAGGGCATTTTTCCAGGAGTGGTGTTGCCGGATCACAGTGAATGAATATTTATACTACTTTCCTGGAAAATGCCAAACTTTCCCCCAAAGTAGTTGGGCCAATACTCACCAGCAGTGTATGAGTTCCTGTTGCACCACACCCTTGCCATTCCTTGATCTTGTCACACTTTTGAATTTTACCCAGCTGCCCTGTATACAACGGTATTTCATTACAGTTTTTGCACTTCCCTGATTTTTTTATGGAGTTAAGCACTTTTCCATATATTTCTTCGCCATTTGGATTTCCTTTTTTTGTGAAGCACGTATTGAATTTCTTTGCCTGTTTTTCTATTGGGTGGGTTTGTCTTTTTCTTGTTGATTTCGGGAGTTCTTTATATATTTGAGATAGGACTCCATTACCAATTATATATGTTCAGGTATGACTCCATTGTATGGCTTGCCTTTTTGTTCTCTTTATGGAGTTTCTGATTTTTTTTTTTTTTGCAAGCAAGATTAGCCCTGAGCTAACATTGTTGCCAATCTTCCTCTTTTTGCTGAGGCAGATTGGCCCTGGGCTAACATCCATGCCCATCTTCCTCTACTTCGTACGTGGGATGCCGCCACAGCATGGCTTGATAAGCGGTGTGTAGGTCCACACCTGGGATCCGAACCTGTGAACCTTGGGCTGCCGAAGCAGAGTGCACAAACTTAACCACTACGCCACCGGGCTGGCCCCTGAATTTTTATATAATTGAATGTATCTATCTTTTCCTTTATGGTCACTCATGGTACCTTGTTCCCTTATTTGCATGGTTAACAGTTCACATTTGTTAAAATATAATTTGTTGAAATTCTTTGAGCCTAGGGATGATGGTGCTTTCCTTCAGAGGGCATTTGCATTTGCTTCTGTCAAGTGCTAGGGGCATTAGGAGCCCAGGATCACTTTAAACTAAATTTGCAGTCTGGATATTTGTAGACCACGGTAGGCGATGTGAATTTGGTATGCAATTCTGCATAAGGGGCAGCTTCAGGATGCAACCTCTCAGGGATAAGATTTTTTTTCCTCCTGCTCTTTGTGGCACCATGGCATAAGTCCTTGCAGTTCCCTGGGGGTGTGAGATTGGTTTCTTCTGGTTCACTCTTGCTCTGAGAGTATGACCCTTTGGGGTCTCTTATCAGATTATCCTTCTTGGTTAGGTCCTGGGCTTTGTGAGAACATCAAACCCGAAGCCCCTGTGTACCTGGTTGGCAAGTGACCTCAGGGAAAACAGCTCCAGACCCTGGCTTACCTCGCTCAGTTCACCTCAA